GTACATGAAATGAGACCTGCAGCGCAGCGAGGCATGAACCTCAACCGAAAAGAAGTAAGGAGCTCATTTTTCTCTCTCCTCTATTTAATTTGTTGGCAGTTCTTCGAAACTTCCGGGGATAGTGGTTGACTCTAAGGGTTGCCATGGCTGCGTGACAAAATGCACCAAAAGGGAGAGAACCCGGCGGCAAGAAGCAGCACAGCCAGTTCAGCGGAAAAATTACTGAACTGGCAACTTCAGCCGGAGCTCTGTGTTTTTTTTTCCACTGAAAATTGAATGAAGAGCGCCAACCCCTGGACACTAAATTTCTCGCTCAATTTTTATTTCACTTATTTCATTTATTTATTTATTTTTATCTTTTTTTGTCTTCAACTGTATCTTTACTGGTTCTTGATGTGTAGAGCTTGGACCTGAAGAAACACAAACCCATTCCGTTTCTTTATTTTATATGGAGAGAATGACCATAATCAGTCTATCAAAGTCTACACTGTTGCTTTTGTGTCTCACTGCCAGGAAACCAGTGGGACCACGGAAATTCACAGTTCCCATTTCAGAAGTAATGTGATAACCACAGCCCGCCTCCAGCTCTAACATACTGTACCAGTCAAGCAACGATATGTTAATTACTGAGCTTTGGGAGGTTTTGGAGGTGCATTTTATTACCGTTCAAGCTACAGTAGGCTGGTTTCCAGTCTGTGCTAAGCTAACCTAAACAGTGTTAAGACCCCCCCCCCCCCCCCAACCCCAAATATACCTGAATGTTGACATTTTACAGAAATGTCTTGTTATTTTTGAATGTGTGAAATATCAATAAAATTACAAAAAAACTGTCTGTATATCGACTAATGTCTAATATAAAATACCACAAAAAACTGTACTATGAATATATAGAATATATATGTTTGTTTGTTTGTTTGTTTTACATTTTTACGGATTTTTAAAACATTATCACACACAAAAAGACTGTAAAAATAAGAAAAAATGTTTAAAATAATTTCCCAAATATTTTATGTTTATTTAGAAGATAAAGGTGTTAATTTCCAGTTTTATGCCGTAAATGCATCTCTAAATTTGATGCATTGAGTGTAAAATGGCAAAAATAAGACAAAAAGAAAAAGAAATAAAGTTTCTGTAATTTTACATGAGTTTGTTCATTCAGATATGTTGTATAATGTAGGAGTTTGAACAAGGGTATAATTGTTTTCAATCTTCATATATTAGTAAATGATATTAAGGTGAGGGTGGTCTTAGCAAATCTAAGTAATAGCAGTACCAATCACCAATAGCTTTGCTATTGGTGATTGGTACTTGCTCACTGTCACCTTCAGTTGCATCTTTTGTGTCATAATGTAAAACTTTGCAGGGAAACCTTTATAGATACTTTTGAAAAGCACTAGTTAATGCAGTCTTGATAATAAACTAAGTTTTTCCTTCAGTGTTCCCTCCATGTAGTCTTTCAGTGTTAATTCTAATCATTTTTACTGCATCATTATTATTATTCCTGTTTAAAATGATTCTCACTTCTTTTTTAAGCAGTCATTTGTCTCTTTATGTTTATATTTAATTCAACAGCTGCCTTCAAGATAAAAGGAAAGATGATAAAGGGAAGAAGAACACTTTGAGCAGATGGCTGGCGGTCATCTTCCCCTAAGAAATATGTGAACCTCTTCTCATTTGTGAAGAGACTGGCATGCCAGCCAGTTCTGGTATTCTCTGAGGAATGTTGGTCAATTTGCATGGTGTTGGACTGTGAGCACAGGTTTCACTAAAAGGACTGGCATTGTTTGTTGTCTTCCTCTTTGCACAAAGACATTGGTCCCAAAGCTTAGTTGATGCCTTTCTTCAGTTCTTTCCTGTCTTCCATTCCTCATGTATTAGATTTTCTCTGTGCTTTTAGACAGAGAAAATCACCTTGCACCTATGTGTTATCCTGGTAGAGCTAGACTACACCTGCACTTTTTCCACAGCAAATCTTAACTGTACCTGTTGTCAATTGCACCTAGATTGAAAAATAACAGGTGTCCAAACACCTTTGAAGTGTCTGCAGCACCAGGGAAACTTGCCATGTTCAGCGTGACTCTAAATTTAGGGTTTTTCATTTCAATTCTGTGTGTTTGTTATGGTTCATTAAAAGCTATTTAAAAAGAACAGTTTTGTTTTTTTATAGCACATTATTATAAAAGTTTTCTGATGTGGTCTATTTGTTAACAAAATGAAGTGTTGGGGGACAGGAAGTAAGTGTGTCCTAACTGTTTAAGACTTATCATTGTAAACATTTAAATCTAAAGTACAGTAATTATTTAAGAATATTTGATAGCAGGTGTTCATGTAAGATTAATCACTGGAGCTCTGACAGCCCCGACCTTCCTGTGTTATTATCATTCACCTGTGATGAGAACAATCAACAATAAAAAAAATTAGTATAATCAGCTTTAAAAATTAGCACTAGAACATTTAGTGCTTGGCTTTTTCATTCGCTCTCACTTGTACATTGAAGTTTATGAATAATAAAAGTTTTGTGAAGACAATTTTAATGACTGTTAATAAAGGACAGGGATCAAAATTACACAATGATGTTGTAAATTACAGACTGAACTCTTACCCATAATGAATGTCCCCACGGTCATTAAACCCTTTTTACAATCACTTATGATAACAACCTAATACATTTGTATTATTGTGAGAAGTTTTCTGTCGTTTTCTGTTTGCTACCAGAATTAAATGTTGAGGCACAGGAACGAAGTGTGTCCTTATGGTACAAAGCTGATGTTATAAAACACAATATCATCATTCAAGTGGTTTAACAGCTGCAGATTTCTTTAAACTATCAAATGTTTTTAAGGACAGCTAAAGCAAACTCAACAGTATTAATGTCATATTGCAGTAGTATTAAGGCATTATTACACAAAGTAAAGTTAGTGTTTCATTAAGCTCAGCTCTTTCAATATTGACATTCATAAGTAATTACTCGATAAGCTCTGTAAATAACAGTATACTGTAATTACAATAACATTTTCTGGATGTAAGAAGGTAAATCCATTAACTTTTTGCTTGAACACGCATAAAAACCTATTATACTGTTCATATAATCCAAAATGAACAGTAAATGCTGTATTTTTAAACCCAGTTACTAATTTAATAAAATTATTTTGACTTTTGTTTAATGTGTAGATATATATATTTTTACATTAATTATGGAATAAAAGTTTTAACACAATTCTTTAAAAACAATTACACAATAAAGCTCAACTAATAACAATACATTTTTGGAATTTCAGGCTCCACTGATTTTACTAGATGAGTGTTTGACCACATTATGGGGTGATTTCATTGTTTTTACACGTGTAGCTATATTTTATTAACAAAGCCTGTTTAAATTAACAAGATTTCATGTAAATATAAAGCTAAAACAAGTGTATTTTAATGTTTTATCTCGTAAAAATACAGAAATTTTCTGTATTTAGGTATTTTTATCTGATGGTAAATTTCCATTATTTCATAGTCTTTTCCAGGAGCCTCAGCCCCATATTACTGTTTATTTAAGTATTTATCATTTCATCATTATGTTTTACACTAACAATTACATTATTTAAAGTATTTAAACGTTTAAGAATAGTAGCTGTAAGTGTAAGTTGGGTAAGAGTGTAAGAACACAGGAGCTCTGACGGAGTGGAGCCCTGTCCTACCTGTGCTATTATCAATCACCGGTGTTGTGAACAATAAGCTGCTGTAAAGCAGGAGCAAATTCCAAAACCAGGCCCTTCATCACATCCCACAAATGCTAACCCCTATATCCTCACTCCTTCCCTGAGATTCTGCTTATTTACAAGGATTTGTTCTTCCAACCTGAGATAGAATTGTGTTTGTTATGACGTATCAACACTTTTAAAAATCAAAATTGGGGAAGCTCACACTGCTACCAAAACAGTTGCAGTTATGTAAAGGAGACAGGTGGCTAACAAACATTTAAATGTATTCTAATGATGTAATTCATATAAGCATAACCAGCTTTAGAATTAGCAGTAGAAGAGTTTGTAATTAGCTTATTTCTTCGCTCTCACTTGTTCATTGAAATTTGCAAATAATAAAAGTTTTGTAAAGAATTTTTTTAATGACTGCTAATGAAAGGTGGGGATCAAAATTTCACAAAGACACAAATTACAGACTGAACTCCTACCCATAATGAATGTCCCCGCGGTCATTAAACCCTTTTTACAATAACTTCTGATAACAAGTTAATACATTTGCCTTAAAGGATGTTTTCTTTCCTTTTTCTTTCATAACCTTATAATTTCTGAAAATGTTAGAATTTGTTCTTAAAATAAAGGAATCAGCCTAGAGGCAGGAGGCATAAACTGACTTCACTTAGTTAAAATTTGTCTTGTAAAGACTTGCAAATGCCAGCAAATATTGCTGACGTTTATCAGTCTCATGGAGGAGTAGATAGTATAAAAGGGGAGGCATAGGTTAACCTGAGTGTGAGATAGGACATTCCTCTGAAGAACCTCGGCGTTGTTGGTGGGTTTCGTAAGAAAGCAGAGATTCGCCAAGAAGTCCAGGTATGTGGATTCTGATACACTGATTTAAGACCCAGAGTGGTTTATTAAACCCATTAATACTTATTCATGTTGTTTGTTGTGTTTTAATCTTTTATCATTTATATTGGTATCCTGACCTGTGCAGAGTAATGTGCTGCTGAAATATTTCCCTTGTCCTTTGTATGTCCAAGCAGCTGGATAAAAATTGAAAACAATGAACAAGACAGCACGATAAAAAGAAGTTAATTCAACCCACATGCTATCAGCTTGTCTGAAATTATTGAATTCTCAGCAGATCATGTCATCCTTTTTCCTGTCTGTTTGTGCCAATAAAATACAGTGTAACTTGCCTCATTTACATTACATTTAAAGTATATTAAGTTACACTGATATTTATTCCAATGTTTAACTTTTCTATCCACAGAAAGTAAGTATACAACTGCCTGAGTCAGAGCGACAAAAATGAAGAAGAAGGTCAGTCTTACATCACCCCCACTTGCAGATAAAGAAGGTGAGTGAGTTACTTTTAGTGGGAAAAAAGGACTAAATATCATTACATATATCTTACTAATAGTTTTGCTTAAAAAAGCTAAGCAATTACTCTAATTATAATTTCCCTTCTTTTCAGATGACAGTCAAAATGGGTAAGTTTGGGTTGGGAGACATTAACATGCTATGTGTTTGCAGTTTTTCTGTCATTTACAGTCATAGGTTATTTACATGTTTTACAGGGAAGAGAAGAAAAAAGAAAATGCTCTGAGTGTTGGATACTTTCAGCTGGTAAATAATTTTTCCATGACTCTATAAAAGCTTGTTCTTTTCCTTACCTTTGCTCTTGAATCATCAAAAAAAAAAAAAGGTAGATAAGCACGAAACATTCTTTATTCCCACAAGCACAAATCCACAATTTCCCATTTTCAGTTCCGATTTGCCACTTGGAAAGACATCGTGATGATGGTGGTGGGGAGTGTGTGTGCCCTTGTACACGGCGCAGCCTCACCGCTCATGCTCCTCGTTTATGGCATGATGACAAACACATTTGTGGATTATGAGCGCGAGGTCCAAGAGCTGAAAGATCCCAACAAGACTTGCAACAACAATACTATTTACTGGGTTAACGACACCGTGTATGAAACGGATGAAAACACCACACTCTACTGCGGGTAAGTCATTTGTTTATTCCAGATGAGATTGTTGCTACAGTAAAGAGTTATTGTTGTTACTGCTACTCATTTTTGTTCTCTTGGTAGGGTGGATATTGAAGCACAGATGACCTTGTTTGCGTATTACTATGTTGGGATTGGATTCGGTGTTCTGATTGTTAGTTATTTTCAGGTAAGTATGCATGTTACATACTCAGCTTTAATTTTTGATTCTTTTTTGTCGCTTCTGGTGAATAATTTCAAACATCCACTTAGCACTCAATTTAAGACCATTTATTATCAGCTGTTGGCCTTTGTGCTGTTAATGAGAGAGGATATTTTTAACACGGTCATCTCAGGCTCATGGCTGTGTAAGAACAGCATCCCCCCTCCATGTGCTGCTCACACCTTCTCAATATAAAGGGCAGCCAATCAGAAGAAAAGTTTCCTGAAAGGGAAAGGTTTGTTTCAGGTTGTGGACGAACTGATGAGCTGCACCAAGAACCAGAATAAGGAGTAATCCTGAATTAAAGAATAAAAATATGGAGTTTGTTTAAATCCTTTCTGAAAATGCATGGCTTGTGTCTGTATAATGTGATGTCTTTTTTTAAAAATCACATTTTAGATTGCATTCTGGGTGACTGCGGCTGCAAAGCAAACACAGAGAATTCGAAAGACCTATTTCAGAAAAGTAATGCGAATGGAGATCGGATGGTTCGACTGCAACTCTGTGGGTGAACTAAACACGAGGATATCTGAGTACGTTGTGTCTCTCTCTGCCTGCTGATCAGCCTGTTATCACTGTTTTGCTCAACATGTTTTTATACATTCTGTTGCTTTTTTCTTTTTATAGCGATATCAACAAGATTAACAGTGCCATTGCTGATCAGGTGTCTATATTTATTGAGAGGATCTCTACATTTGTTTTTGGCTTCATGGTTGGGTTCATTGGTGGGTGGAAGCTGACTCTGGTGGTCATAGCAGTGAGCCCTCTGATAGGTATAGGTGCTGGACTGATGGCTATGGTAAGCGTTTGATAGTCAGTTGGCAGTTGGTGGATAGATACCTTTTTTTCTGTTATGTTTAAGCTTTGATATGTGTTTATTTTATGCATTTTTCTTCCTGGTTCCTGCAGGCTGTGGCCAGACTGACAGGACGAGAGCTTAAGGCCTATGCAAAGGCAGGGGCCGTGGCTGATGAGGTCCTGTCATCCATCAGAACGGTAGCAGCTTTTGGAGGGGAGGAAAAAGAAGCTGAAAGGTATTTTGTAGTACAATATAAATGCTAATACTTTTATTTGTAATGATGCTAAAATACAAATTTTGCACAGGTATGACAGAAACCTTGTGGAAGCTCAAAATTGGGGAGTTAAAAAAGGAACAATCATAGGAGTGTTTCAGGGATACCTGTGGTGCATCATTTTCCTCTGCTATGGTCTGGCCTTTTGGTACGGATCTAAACTGGTCATCGACACTAAGGAGATGACGGCTGGTACTCTTATTCAGGTATGAAATGTTAAATTCTAAATGGTAATACTCTGTAGATTACACAGATGGAAAACTGCTGACTTTTAATGCTGCTGTGTTTGTTTTAGGTTTTCTTTGGTGTACTCATGGCAGCAATGAACCTTGGCCAGGCCTCACCGTGCCTGGAGGCCTTCGCTTCTGGTCGCGCTGCTGCAAAGAGTATCTTTGAGACAATTGACCGGGTAAAACCAGCTAACTTACATAACCAGAAGACCCAAATTAGTCAATGTTAAAATAATGAATAAAGTTTATTTGTTGCTACTTTCACAGGAACCGGAAATTGATTGTTTATCAGAAGAAGGTCACAAATTAGACAAAGTAAAAGGTGATATTGAGTTCCACAATATCACTTTCTACTACCCATCCCGGCCCGACGTCAAGGTAACATTCTTTGCTTGATATTTGTTCTGTCATGTTTCAGTTTTACACGCACTGAAAGTCAACAACCTTTTTCAGATTTTAGATAATCTGAGCATGCAGATCAGAGCAGGAGAAACCACCGTATTTGTTGGACCAAGTGGATCTGGAAAGAGCACCACAGTCCAGCTCATTCAAAGGTTTTATGACCCAAAGGAAGGAACGGTAACTATCTGAGAAACTTTTCAGACACAGGCAATGAGATGTTTGGGGGCTTTGTTGTAACGTCTTGTAATAAAATATCCTTCTTAGGTGACTTTGGATGGTCATGACATCCGTACTTTGAACATCCAGTGGCTACGATCTCTAATTGGGATTGTTGAGCAGGAGCCAGTGCTGTTTGCTACCACCATTGCAGAGAACATCCGATTTGGTCGACCTGGAGTAACCGTGGACGACATTATCCAGGCGGCAAAAGAGGCTAATGCCTACAATTTTATTATGGAGCTACCACAGGTACATTTAAAAATGATATACAGCACAATTGCAGAAGTTACAGCAGTTTTACAGTCATGTGCTGTAATTTTACTCTTATACTCCAGAAATTTGAAACTATGGTGGGTGAAGGTGGAGGCCAGATGAGCGGAGGGCAGAAGCAGCGTATTGCTATAGCTCGTGCGCTCATCCGAAACCCCAAGATCCTCTTGCTGGATATGGCCACATCTGCCCTGGACAATGAAAGTGAAGCTGTAGTCCAGGAAGCACTGGATAACGTGAGCCATTTTTTATATTTCATACATTTTGACTTCATTAGCATCTTGTTTAGTGGACTGACACCCTAATAACAACCATATCTGCAGGTGCGCACAGGCAGGACGACGATTTCTATAGCTCATCGTCTTTCCACGATTAGAAATGCAGATGTTATTATAGGATTTGAGCACGGGCAGGCTGTGGAGAGAGGAACACACAGCGAGTTACTGGGGAAGCAAGGCGTCTACTTCACTCTGGTCACCCTGCAAAGCCAAGGCCAAACCAACACAACTAGTGGTAGGATTCATGTGGTCTGTCAGTTACTAGATTTGGACTTTTGGTGCAAGAAAATGAAAATGCGTGGATCAAAATTTATGGTATAATCTTCAAATGTTAAACAAAATCAAATGCCCAAATATGTCCAGAATATGATGTAGAACATTTAAACTAAATTTAAACATTTAAATTTAGAACTAAATTTAATCTGATAGAGAATATGTTCCAACCTTTGGTGATTTCTCAAATTCATTTTGTATGTTTTTCCCTGTTGAAGACATGTTTACCTGGACTAGACAGAGATTGTCATGCACGGTTGGAAATTCAGGATAACAAGTTGGCTGCCTGTTGTTTGTCTGATACAGTTAGAGAGTGTAGTTGCTTTACATTGTGATGACGCATAATTAAAAGTTCTGCACCCTTTACATCATGTACACCTCCTATTGTGCTGTTCTACATTATCGCATGCAAATAAGACCTTCCTGCCTGGTTGAAAGAGCACATTTCAAAGCTCTCAGTCACATAGCAACATAGCAAAAGGTTTGGGCCTTAGGTTGTTCATGACACTTACAGCTTTGGCGCTGTGGTGCTGTCTTCGCCATATGTAGCTTAAATGCCACAAAAGAACTGGACCTATGCTTATGCTGAATTAATGGCTTCAGTCAAGGCCAAACATTAAATGCATTTCAAAGGGGAAATCCTTTAAAGTATGTTATAGTTATTTCTTGTGTTTGTCAAATCTCAAAGGAAACTTTAATGCTTGATTGTTTTACTTCCAGATGTGATCAGTGAAGCTCCTGAAGAAGACTTTGATCTAAAAGCAGGGGGGTTTAGCCGTGGAAGCCGTAGATCCAATAAAAGGTACAGTAAGTCCACTTGAAGGAGATCATGAGAAAAGATCATCTGTAAGAAAATACTTTGATATTCTCTATATTACACCTGCAGGAGCTCTCTGCGGCTGCGATCTTGGAGCCAGTTGTCAAATGACTTTGTCCCTGATGCACTATCAGGCAGCCTCAAGATTGCTACGGACACGAATATCAAATCAGAAAATGTACAGAGATTCCTCTCGTGCTATGTAATATGCCAAGACAATTAATAACTGTTCTATGAAAAACAATGGTCCTTACACATATCTTTTAACAGCAACAAAATGATGTGGAAGAACATGTAGAGCCTGCTCCAGTTGCACGTATCCTTAAGTATAATCAGCAGGAATGGCCCTACATGCTGCTTGGCTCACTGGGAGCTGCGGTCAATGGCTCTGTCAACCCCATATATGCCATCTTGTTCAGCCAGATTCTTGGGGTAAGAGCTGTTCTCATGAAGAACGCATGTCATCTTTTACATGTACAGCTGGTTTGAGCATGGGCTAAAATATTTCACTGGTATTTGTTTTTACAGACTTTTGCAATTCAGGACTTGAATGAACAGAGGAAACAGATCAATGGGATATGTGTTCTGTTCTGCATCGTGGCCGTGGCTAGTTTCATTTCACAGTTTTTACAGGTATGCTGTTGCAATTTTAGACATATTAAAAACAAAACATAATCTAGAATAGCAGTTGTGGAGAAATTGTTTATGTCTCTAGAAGAAGATGAACTGCAATAATGTGATAGGTATGACAAAAATGAAGAATTATACAGGCGACATGTGAACAACGCCTGCCTTTCTGCACATGTTCTACATGTGTGTGGCTATCTGATGACTGAATTGCCTGCGCGTGCCATGAAAGCAGTCATAACAGAGTCAAGATAGCTAAAACAGGTGGGGCTTGGCAACGTGGGTTTTAATTATACTGTGGTTTCTTTACTGCACAGAAGCAAAGGCAACATAAATACCAAAAAATAAATAAATATTGGTAGCGTTATTAAATTAGAGTGGAGCAGAGTAAATCTTTAATGTACCAGTGAGGGGACATTTGCTTTCCACTCCAACAGAAAACACACAAACACCATTCAAACCACAGTACAAGATCCAAAGGTCTGACATTGTCATCATAAATCGGGTTCATTAAAAGGACTAGATGTTACAATCCCTGACAATGCATTGCTTTAAATGGAGAAGATCTTGGGGGATGGCTGTTATGAGGAAAAGCAGCACAGAAACTTTACCAGCGGCACACATTGTTGTGTGCCTCAACTTTCGTTCTTTTACCCAAGATAATCTGCCATTTTTCCTTGGTTAGGTTTAGGGATTAGAGATCTGATCTAAATTATCATATTAAAATTTGGGACACATTGTCAGTAGTGGACCTTGGATTCATCGGGTGTTTCGGCCATTATCACTAGACACCCTCATCCAAAGAGGCCCTGCCAGGGTTGATCAGGCCCCGGAGTGTGTCACTGGTTTATGTTAAAGGGCCATGGGAAGGGAAAAAGGGCCATAATTTTTCTGAAGAAGGTTAGCAGATTGGATAAAATAGGGTTAGGGGTTATCTTACAATATAAAATGCCTTGAGGCGACTGTTGTTCTGATTAGGCGCTGTATAAATCAATTTTAAAATGAACTGAGTACAGAGTAATGGTAAGAATCAATGTGTGGTTAGAGGGTCAATACTGTATTTTATGGCTTTTTTACAGTTCACATTTAATATTACAGGGATATTCTTTTGCTAAATCTGGAGAGCTTCTGACGCGCCGCCTGAGAAAAGTGGGCTTCCAGGCCATGTTGAAACAAGAGATTGGCTGGTTTGATAACCCTATAAACAGTCCTGGAGCTCTGACCACCAGACTGGCCACAGATGCATCCATGGTTCAGGGGGTAAGTAGGAAACTACAGGATTGTTTTCACAGTTTGGTTTTACAATTAAAATCTTGTTTTTTAAATATTTTTTAACATGCTTGAATAATTTCTGTAGGCAACGGGATCCCAGATTGGCATGATTGTTAACTCAGTGACCAGCATAGGAGTCTCTTTCATCATTGCCTTCTACTTCAGCTGGAAATTAACATTGGTAATTTTGTGCTTCCTGCCGCTCATTGGGCTGTCTGGGGTATTCCAAGCCAAGATGCTGACAGGTTTTGCAAATGAAGATAAGAAGGCAATGGAAGAAGCAGGTCAGGTAAGCTCATCTTCCATTTTAATATCACACCAGTACACAGGCAGCTTTGAATTTCTTGCGGTTAAGTGATTTCTCTCCCACAGGTATCCAGTGAGGCTCTTGGCAACATCAGAACCATTGCAGGTTTGGCCAAAGAGAGCTCATTTGTGGATTCGTATGAGCAGAAACTTGAATTGCCTTATAAGTCTGCCAAGAAGAAAGCCAACATCTATGGGCTCTGTTTTGGCTTTGCTCAGTGTGTCATCTTTTTGGCTTATGCTGCTTCATTTAGATACGGAGGCTTCCTGGTCAGGGCTGAGGGTCTGCAATATATGTTTGTTTTTAGGTTGGTAAAAATCTTGCTTTTTGACATGTTCAACTTTGTGATGTGATTTCCAAACATCAACACTGTGGTCATGTGTTTCCCCAGGGTGATTTCAGCAGTCGTGATCAGTGGGACAGCACTGGGCAGAGCTTCTTCGTTCACTCCAGATTATGCCAAAGCCAAAACTGCTGCTGCCCAGTTTTTCAAATTGTTGGACAGAGTTCCTAAAATCAGCATAAGCCAGTCAGATGGAGAGATATGGGTTGGTGAATGTCAATAACTGTACATTGAAATGGTTCATGAGTTTTAAGATGTAGCCCGTGTTACTTTTGTGAATCTTGTCATCCATCTTTAGAAAAACTTCAGAGGAGAAATAAATTTCCTTAATTGCAAATTTACTTATCCGACACGACCGGACACCCAGGTGTTGAAGGGCCTCCGTGTGTCTGTGAAGCCCGGGCAGACTTTGGCGTTTGTTGGGAGCAGCGGCTGCGGGAAAAGCACAAGCGTTCAACTGCTGGAGAGGTTCTATGACCCTGATGAAGGACAAGTGGTGTGTGTTGACTGATTTAAATGTTAATTTCAGATACACAAAATGTATTCAGTGTGAGCAAAACCATTCGCTCTGTTGTAACTGTGTCACCTTTTCTTTTCAGGTGATTGATGGCATCCCATCTCATTCAGTCAATGTGCCTTTCCTAAGATCTCAGATTGGGATAGTGTCCCAGGAGCCAGTTTTGTTTGACTGCAGTATAGCTGAGAACATACAATATGGAGATAACACCCGCAGTGTCAGCATGGAGGAGATTATTGAAGCTTCTAAGAAAGCTTATCTTCACGACTTTGTGATGACGCTTCCTGATGTGAGTAGGACTGAAATGACTTGAAATGTCCGGTCAGTCATTTTTTGATTAAAAAGAAAGCTGAGTAAGCGAACTAAGCATAAATTCAGAATTAAAGCTAAATTGAATGTGACGTTGATTGCCTGTAGTTCCTTTTAGAAGGTAACTGGCAGAATGTGCAGACAAGCGTTTTCCAGATGCTAAATGCACTTAGTATAGGTTTACTATCCTAAAAAAAATCAAACAAACACACATTTTAAAGATGACTTGTGGTGAACTTAGAGTATAACTTGCTGCTTTTTACGCCTCTCTCTTTCAAACTGGTAGAAATATGAGACTCAGGTTGGTGCCCAGGGGTCGCAGCTGTCAAGAGGACAGAAACAACGCATCGCTATTGCACGTGCTATTGTCAGGAACCCCAAGATCCTGCTGTTAGATGAGGCCACGTCTGCCCTGGATACTGAAAGTGAAAAGGTATCTTTTAAGTCCTCTAATCTAGTCTTTTAAATGAAAGTTTGACAAAACATCCATATCATATATCCATGACACACAAAAGGAACTCGCTGATGACAGAGATTTTTTGTCCTGCAGACCGTGCAGACTGCTCTGGATGAGGCAAGAAAAGGACGAACCTGCATCGTCATCGCTCACCGGCTGTCAACCATCCAGACTGCAGACATCATAGCTGTGATGTCTCATGGAGCTGTCATCGAGCAAGGCACACATGATAAACTCATGGCCAAGAGGGGCGCCTATTACAAACTGGTCACAACAGGTGCTCCGATCAGCTAGAATTATTTGAGCTTGTTGTATTTACAGAGCCGTTTAATTGCAAACTTGAACCATTTGGAAAATCGTCCCTCATATCCTGCTCATTTAAATGCACAACTTTACTTTGTTTTCATAAAGCTCTTTTTTGTATATTTATTTGCCTGTAATGAGTGTTTATAAATGAAGAAGATGAGGATAAAGACTTTTGCATGTATTAAGCCACGTTTGTATCACTGAACCACAGTTATTGTTTTTTTTGTTTAATATATATATATATTTTTTAAAATTGTATAATAATACAATCATTAAAGTAATCTATTTCTAATGTTTTGGTACGGCTTTTTCTTACCAAAATATCAACATTTCTCTTCAGTTTAAAACAATACATCTTACTGTATTGTTTTAAACTTCACATATAGAAGTTATTATGGATATTTAAGCATCTATTTTCTTCTACTCAGCTAGTTCATGTGACGGTAGCATGGAGTCCATCCTAGCTCCCAGAGAGCAAAAGGCAGGGCACACAGTGAATGTGTTATAGGTCTACTACAGGGCTAATACAGAGAGATAAAGAACCATTATCACCTACAGCCAATTCATTGCCAATTAACCTAACCCAGAAAGAAGGCCCCATCTGGGAAACGTATTTGAACCCAGGACGGTCTTGTTGTGGCACAGCAGCGCTAACCACCATTTAATTGGGACCTTTGGACCTTTTGAGGTCAGAAAGAGTACTTTATCTGTAAGGAGGAAATATTTTGCTCATGGGTGCTGAAATCTATTTTTTTTTTCATTTTATATTTAAACATAACCAATAACAGAGGTCTTTATACCTAAAGCAAGTTCTCCTTTAAATTGTAGCTGTATTGAAAGAAAATTCTTTTCTTAGGCAAATTAGTTTTCATAAATATTTATATTAACTATGCTGGAGCTGGAGTGGACAGAGTTCAGGCTGCTGAGTGGTTCTCTGTTGCTGCACCCTCAGTACCAGTTGATAATAAAGCACCCAGGCACACAGATGTTTCTTCGAGCTGGGCTTAATGAGGAGCCTACGCACTTAGGACAGTTACATAATTCAGAGCCAGCCTCAGGTGCCGCTGGATGCTAAGCAACCCGGGATGGTGGAGAAAAACGTGGAAATACGTTCTGCTGGGGAGTTTACCTAATCTGCCTAATCTAGTTACATCACAGCTTCTGTTCTGCTTCACTTATTTTGGCTGATTAATATCTAAGTTTTCCTGAAGAGAGCTACAAGAGATTATTCAATGCATGCAGAGCAAGCTGTATGTCCATACATTTAAAGTGCTTAAAAACTAAAAATGATACTTTTATAACTGACATTTCTGACATGATATAAATATCGATAAACTGTCATTTCTGACAATCTAAAATTTCATGTTCTTTCATCTGAGCTGCAGTGGTAAGGGATCTTACTTGTTATCTATCTGACTTTTACACAGAACTGATGGGCTAACAGGTCACAATAAAATCTGGAGGTCTGATTTTGTTTCAGGCTGTTGTGATGTAAACTGTCAAAATGAAGTTTTCAAAAACCATTTGTGCTCTAATTTGTGTGTAACCTCTTAAACACGGACGTAAACCCTAAAAAGGATGGATATTCGTAAGGAAAAAATGGGAAAACACTTCAGGCAAAAGCATCTCCTGAATGATTCCAGGGTTGTATAATGTCCCAAAGAAACTCTTTAATAAGAAATTGAACAGTCTTTACAGTTATTGTGATTTACATATAAAACAAACACCATAGAATGGACTCAGGTAAGCAACAGATCAAGCAAATGAAAATTTCAAAACATGCTATTCAAACCCACAAATGCAACTTTTTTAAACATACACTGTTTCAGTCTCGTGTGATTACCTCCATAATACACTTACATATTTACACTTGTTTGCCAACACTACCATTCAACCTTGCTGATATCCTTGATCAATAAGTGTTGGGGGTAATATTGTAAAACTTGAAAGCTGCTCCCCAGTCTAAGCTAGCTTCCTCTCTTCATGCTCTCTGATGAGCAAATTAACACAGTAAGGAATAACAGCAACCACACCGAGAGGTATTGAAGCACTTTTACAGAACGACAGTATATAAAACAGAGCCTCATTGTGAGTGGGCATTTTAATAAAGTTGTACAGTTGCAGAAATGTGAGCGTTGCAGTCACGCACATGAGTTTAAACATACTTTTGCAGCCGTTCTTCCCTTTGCAGCTCTGAACGAACATCTCAGAGTTCACTGCCAGGCCCAGCCCAAACAAGGCTCCCAGGTTTCTAACCAGACCGGCAAAAGGCGTTGTGTCGAGATGGATCCAGTCTGGGTTAGCGCACCACTTCTTGGCTTTGCTGACTGACCACATGGGATCGATATCCAACAGTTTAAAGAGCAGATAAAAGCAAACAGCGAAAGAGAAAAGAAAAATGTTGGTTTGGAGGTAAACTTTCAAGCTTGCATTGTAGACTGAGGGGATGTGATCAAAGGCCTCAGCAATCAGCATGCCTACACATTAAAGAAAGAAAAAAGGTCTTTAGTCTGAACACAAAACAACAGATATATCAGATATTTTTTTGACAGCAGAGTGGAACACACCAGTGAAAACACCGAGGATAACTTGATGTGGAAAGTGTGTTGCAATAAAAATCCTGGAGATGCAAACACTTATCTGAATGACCCAGAAAGTCATCCACAAAAAGGACCTCAGAAGACAAAACCTGTAGGAATAATACATATTAAAAAAAGACAAGACAACTAATTTAACTGTAAAGATGTATATAACCTCTCACCTTTGAAAGCTGTGTACAGATGAGGCGCGGGAAGGCCGAGCAAAATTTAAAGCAGAAGTGATCATCACATACCACACGCATGATGAGCCCATGGCGTGACCAGATGGACTGCCTGTTCAGAAAAACATTAAATAAAGTTTTCTACACTTTAATAGTTTTAAGTACTGACTCGTACATGCATACTAACCTGGCCCTGTTTCACAAGTTATATGAAACTGCTCCAAATGTGGTTTTGAATCATTGTGGTAGAAGGGTGTTTCTTGCACCCACCAGTATGGTCGGTGCCCAAATAAAATCCTGCAAAAGAAAATATAAGAATAAAGTTCAGAAATACATAAAATAAAGATACAAATGCTAACCTAAGAGTAGGTTTACCATTTAAAAATAAGGTTGAACCAGTCTCCAATGACAGCCACCCAAATCATCTTGGTGCCAACATTGTGACTGAGATGGAACCAGAGAGGGAAATAAACAGAGAAAATATTACGAGGGTCACCCACTACTGACACAAAATCAATGAAGTCATGGTATTGCCAGTAGTTGTTCTGCAGGTACTGTATAACCTGCACACCAAAGCTGTAGACAAAATCCATGTGGTTCCCTATCTATGTACACAACTGCAACAGCTTCTTCTTCAATGCCAGCTAAAGCACCGTGAGTCCTTTCCTACCTCAGGAACTTTATATCAACCTGGTATCATAAATCATTAAATGAAGCCATGGCAACAACTGCAACATCTTTGCTTTGAACCCAACATAAAATAATGTTGCCATTAGGGCTCAGCATTTTAAGACATGTTACAAAACTGTTTACACCCTGAGCATGTAGACATTAGATTTTTCACAGAACATTGCTTTTACAATTGTTAAATATTAGCCATTGTACACACGAAGAAAGACAGTTACACGTAACCTGCTGGATCCTTTCAGCCTCATTAATATTCTCATTCTCAGTGAACGTAGCAACAAAATGAACTTCCTATAATGCTGCAAGAGAAAAACACAGCCCATCTGGCATCTGGCACAGTAGAGTTCACTGAGTACATCTGTTAGCATTCAGCTATCTTCCCATTCTAATCAGAGCACAAATACTGAAAAAAGTATAATGTTGTTTTATATAGTTTGGACGGAATATCGGATCCATCTGAACTTCCACATACTGACCACAAGGTGGGATATCGTTTCAGCAAAAAACATCCTGAAAACATTATATATATCATTTTAAATATAAATTTAGCAAGAGGAGTGGGCTATTTAATATTTTTAAACCATGTTTTCTCGGTTTAAAAACATAACAGTGTTTAGCTAATTTGAAAGCAGAGGAAATAATATGAATGATTAACGTAATTTCCGGTTGTCGTTGAGTGCCCGCCCCCTACGTTTAGACCGCGGATTTTTGAAAATAACGACCTGCGCAACAGCAAGACGTAAATCTAGAGTTCTCTTCAAAACATGTGAGTGTTACACGGAAACGTTAATGGACTGACTAGTTTAAGCCACATTTGTAAAATATCCTTTGGTTTCATTTGCAAGCTAATCGATGACGAACTAACCGCTAATGTTCCCCCGGCTAACGTTAGCATTGGCATGCTTATGTTGTTAGTAGGTTTTGGTGTAGCTGTTACGTCACCGGTTGTCCGATATGCACAAATAATGTTGTATTTAAATAATAAAGCCAGCTGTTACTAGCGACAGGTCAATTGTGAACTAATTAAATAACTAATTATGCCAGTAAACATTTAAAACTGTTTTAACTGACGATGGTTTCAGCTGTACTCTTTGATATGCTTTGAAATGTTTTGGTGTCATTGTTTGCTGGAAATAACAGCCACAGTGCATAACTATAAGTCTTTTAAAAGATTAATGTAAATACAACACAGTACAGCACAGCCTATTCTGTACTGTTATACTTTTTAATCTTGCTTTTATCTCCATAACGTCTGGGTCATTGTACATTGGTTAAGCCAAAGGGAAAAAAAAGTTTACTAGAGCACTAACAACTATAAAATTAACAATTTACCAAGAATACACTGCTAGATTACACACAGCCGCCTGAGGGGTTTATTACGAAGCAATGTTTTGGCCGAAAGTGCCACATTTTCTCAGATTCTTTTATTTACAGCATGTCTTAAAAGCCGTGTAGATTCTCTGCTGGGGGAATGTGTGCAAGTTGTTAAGCAGTAGCTGTACATCAGATTCTGTGATTTACATGCATACATGATGCAAGAAATGTTTTTATACTTTATCTTTAATCTGCTGCTAAGGCTGTTTTACCTCGCTGGAAGCTGTTTACACAGCTTTGTAAACAGAGCAAAGAATACAGAGAATGCCAAAAATACCTGTTCAATCGATTAGATCAATTTCATTTTAATCTGCTCACAAAGCAAGGTCTCATCTTCGTTTTAGGCTACAGGAAAGTGTCAGAGCTGAGCACACAGATGAAACAGACCCTTAATGTTCGTTTCCATCCATTTCAAGTTTCAGAGCTCTAATGTACAGACTTCATGTTAGAAATAAACAGCAGCATTGAGAGCGCGTTCAGCATTAAAATAGTCAACTCACAATAAAATAAAAAATTCAATTAAAAGTTTATTTGACTGCTTTGTGCGCTAAATCAAAACCAATTAACTGCAATTAATTTCATGTCTTATTCACAACTTTGTTACTTGTTGCTGTTTATTTATGATGTTCTTTTTCTAATGTTCTTTATAGATTTTTATTACTATTTCATCTTCATCATTACGTGATAATGTCTTTGATTGTGGGCGACACTCATATCCTGGACAAATAAATTACTCTGAGCAGCTTTTTCTGTATTCTGTTCTGCGCCAGTGTTGACCGACCACTACAGTTGTCTGGCTCTGCAGTGAAAATTGTGCTTGTGTTTTACCACAGATTCATAACAAAGCACCGTGATGTCCATCACTGACCCAAACATGAGCGATAGGTTTACAAGTGCAATGGAGGAGATCCACAACAAGGAGCTTAAAACATACACAGACATAATAGACACAACGGCAGAGTTGGCCCAATCCCACAGGCAGTTTGTGAAGTCAGCAATTGGTAAGTTTTTTAAAATTTATTTTTAATGTTGAACTACATATACAAACATCTGTTCAGCTTGTTTTCATTACTAATATCCTTTATTTCAATAGAAAAGAAATTGCACATGGACTTTTTAGTTTTTAAGACACCGTATTGTCCCCTTTTTTTCCTCACTTTCCTATCTTCACTGCTTCACTATCCAATAAAGGCAAACATGTCAAAGAAAGAATATTAATTATGAGTAACATTTAGTCTTACAGGTTTAATAACAACTAGGTCCAAAGTTGTGTTTTTGGAGTGTTTTAAGACAGTCTGAGTATCGTCCAGCACAGTGGATTACAACATTACACATATTTTCTTACTTGATTAGAGTTGTCTGATATGGCTGATAATAAATGTTTTCTGTTGCAGATACGTCTTTAAAGAAGTGTAAGGATGATGACATATTGTTTGAAACAATACAGACATTCAAAAAAGGTGAGTTTCAGTAAATTAGGCACACAGTATTAGCATGTACCTTAAATGTAGGTCATACTGCTGAGTTCAAGTGTACATGTGAAAATGGTGGTTTGTAATGCTGCTTCCGCATCTTCACTTTATCTCTGGACTTAGTTGTACTGACACAACTTGTGTACTGACACAATGTTTGCCTCGTAGACCTCGAACTGAAAAAAGTGGCTTTAAAAGAGAAACGACAGGCAATATCTGAAGTGATATCTGAGATTCAGGAGAAGGATATGCAGAAAGAGGACATTATCCAGAAGATTGAGAAGCTTAAAGAAGAACAAACCAAGAGAAAAGAACGTAAGATTGTGTGATTGTGACACTGATGCTGTAACGTATAAATTAAATATTAAACTGTGACTGTATTGTATAGTACACTTATTTGTTCTGCCTACATTTCAGTGATTGAATCTCAATACAAAGCAAACAAAGACAGACTGAAGAATCTCCAAAAAGCCAGACTCGTCTTTCAGGATCATTTGGGGTTGGAGGTACGAACAATCCTCGGCAAAACACAGCTGGTTAAAGGTATGCAAAAACCATGCATTTTTGATACACATATGTTTGTCGACTCTTGTTTATGTTATCTGTAACAGATTTTTGTGCAAGAGGTTTTGGTCTTGCTGTTCCTTTTAGGCTGATCATGACTGATATGGTTATGATACTTTCTAAAATTAAACTACCATAAGGATAAAAGCTCTAGCTATTCAGAAGTGATAATCAATATTATAATTATTTTGATTTTTTTTTGTCGGAATGGAATAAATACTCAGTACATGAGTACTAGTTAAAACAGTGGAACCACATTCATCATGTTTCTGAAGCTGTCTGCATGCACATATCCAAACTAGAGTAATTCTGACCTACAAACTGCTTAATTGTTAATTGATGGTTGAGTTGAATGCATTGAATAGAAAGACTATAATCGTAAAGTAATATTTTTACCTTCGGTGGATTAAAATGAAGGCTCTGCTCTGCATATTCCTGTTACCATGGTGAACTGATTGATATTTATGCTTGTATGTATCATCATTAACGATAAAGACATGCACAGCTCAGAGTGAATATAATCAGATCGTGAAGAAACTCTGGACATGTGTACTGTTACTGAAAAAGTGTTGTGCAACTTAATGATGGTCAGCTGGTTGTTGCGATTTCACCTTGTGACACACGCCGCTTCTGATACGACTCAAGAACTTTGTTTTGAACTTTTAAAGGTGAAAAGTTGCAGTTTGTTTTTCGAAACATCAACCCCTCTGATCCAGACAGCGCCTATGTCATCACGATGGGGATTAATGAAAGCGGATCATACCAGAGTAAGTTAAATACCTCTACTTTTTTTTCCCACAACCCTGTGTAATGTAATAGTATTTCTGTGTATTAATTTCAAACAGATTCACAAATATAGATATGAGCTTTTTATTATTATTTAAAAAGCTATAGGAAGACCAAAAAAACACACTGATATTTAATGTGTTTGTAAAATTGGTTCAAATAAGACCAGAGAGAAACATTGGAACACTTAACCTGATATTTTGTGGCTCACTCTTTTATTGCATCCACTGTAATCAGTCATTGTTTTTTTTCCTGTTTTACAGTTGTCTCCAGTGACCCCGTGCTCAAGTGTTTGCCAGCCTTGGAAAAGCGACTTCAGGAGACCAATAATTTACCAGCATTCCTGGCAAATGTGAGGAAGGAGTTTATCTCTCAGACGCGTCGCTAAAATTGAACGCAGGGAAGGATGAAAAGCACGCAGTGACATTCTCCCTGCAATTTGGACTAAAGAAAGCACAGTGGATTCAATGGAGTAATCAGTGGAGGATTACAAATCTTTAAATAAAAAGTCAACTTCAGGACTCTTAGATTTGAATTTCAAATACTCTTTTGTACTCAGTAGCTAACACGTGTGAATTCTTCTTATTAAAAAGATTAAGTTTCTTTTTTTGGCATCATTTCAGACGAGTTCTTGTTGGAGATAAGTATATGAATTTAAGGAGCGGGACCACGCCAGTCCCCTTCGAGGCCTTGCTCAAACCGCAGCTCAATGAATGTCCAAGCCGTTCACCTTTATCTACGATAACGCTGTCAAACCTAAAATGAGGACGTGGGCCCAGCGAGTGAATTGACATTTGGACAACTGCTTACCTTTTAATCCTGAATAATAAGGAACTGACTACTTAAACATTGATGTAAACAGTTTTATTTTATTTGTTTGTTACAAATCTCTTTTTTTTTTACACGTGCTACAGACATCAATGATGTAATAAAGCACTTCTTTATTAAAGCCTCGTGTTAGTCGACCTTGTATCGAGTGTAATATAAATTATGAAAAAACTTGTTATTTGATATTAGTGTCATGTTCAACTTTAATCCTAGGAGCATTACAAAATAGCCAGGAGGCAGTGTTAAGATGCTGAATGTACATCTCACTTCATAAATATACAAGAACTGAATGTGACAAATGTTGAATAATTAACCAAATTAAAATCGGTGCATACACAGATATTGTTCCTTTCAGACTAAGTTTCTAATGAATGTTTGGCATCGCTGTGGTTAGAATTTGATTCAGGGTCGGTCAGGCATCAGATGATTTAATGCTGCTTAACTGAGGTAGCTCTTCAACATAGGTTGATGGGAAATGGCCCATCTGCCCGTTCAACATGCCAAACCACCAGCCGGTTTCTTCCTTGGAATAAATGTCTAGTAAATCTCCTGTGAAACATGATTTTTTCAGTTAAACTTTAAATCTTTGCTTTTAAGAAACGCAAACATTTTTAGTAAACTCAGGTTTAGTGTCACTTACCTTCGTTCAGAGCCAGTTCATCGTCGTGCTCAGGGGTGAAGTTGTAAATGGCCTTGCATTTTCCTATACTGCACAACTCTGGGGTTGTTTTATCTGCTAAAAATAACTGTTTTTAGTGCTTTAATTTCCTGAATTTCCAGATGTTGTAATTTTAAACAAACAGTTGTATCTGTGCTCTGTAAATGAATTACCTTGTCCTTTGTCCTCTTCCGTGTGAGGCTCCAAGACTCCATTAACAGTGCTGCCACTCTCTGCAGTTTGACTTTCCTGTGTTGGGCTTGTAGAACTGACCTGGTCAGTGGCATTTTTTGAAGGATCCACAGACTGCTGTGCCACAAACAGAGGTGGTCCTTTGTAAATGATGGAAGCTCTCAGTGACTGCCGGGATCTGAAGGGTGTCCTCCTGAGTCTGACTGGACGAGCCAGCTGAACTAGACTATGTTCACAGTCCTTGAACAGAAGAAAGGGTTTCAACTATAGCATTTGTCTTTACAGAAGCGTAAACACAGAACTGTACAACAATGTAATATAAAATAAAAAATTCGCCTTTTTGATATTCCAGTCTTTTTATTTCTGGTGTTTTTCCAATTTAATAAGATAACTTGAAATAACAAGAGAAGTTCTCATTTGCTCATTTTCCTGCAAGCAAACTGTCCTACCTACCAATTTAGTGTAATTTAGCTGTAATTTGCTTTGCATCGAGACAGTTTGTGTCTTTATGTACTGCATGTGGTAATGTTATGAGCCGATTTTGAATGTAAGATGATTCATCAGAAATGCATTCATGCTGTTTATGCAGTGACTCACGAGATATAGGAAAGGACAGGATCCCTAATAATATAGAATAAAAATAATCTTGTTCATTCAGAAAAAAAACAGGCAAATATTTTATCTCAAGTAAAAACATTTTGCCTCTACATGTGAACCAAACGTAAGTATATTTATTGATGCGATACCAAACTACCAGCTACGACAGGCCTGTTGCCCCAGCAAATCACCTGCCCCAGCAACCTGATTCACCAGTTGATGCTAAATATTAAGTGTAAAATAACTGTAATCAACAAGCTAGCAGGTGGAAGTATTGAAGGAGAGGAATGAAAGCCTGTAGAAGCAAAACAATACATGTGTGTGAATGGAGTACTGAAGATGCAAGGTAGCAGATACTGGGAATAATCTTGTGCACACTGTGCTTTTATTTCTGGGAAAATCAAAAAGATCCTGTTTCTTACTTGCACCATCTGTCCAGTAAAACCAATATTCCACTATAGTTCCAGTTAATCTGCTTTAAATATGTTACTGATAGATATGTATGGGGTATGCAGAGTAAGAGATTAAAGTTAACCCTCTATCAAGTCTGTTCCTATTAAGCTGAGGATTCAGTCCAGTCACATTTTAGCTACAAATCCTCTGTGCCAACAAAAGGCGGCTGCATAATGGAAATCTTACCTTGTCCTTCCATTTCAGAATACTGTTGCTGAACCGGTGATGGGACTTTGGTTTCCCTTCTAATTTAGACAGCGATGTAGAGAGTTTGTAATGAGTAGCCTCCAGGAGATCCAGTTTTAGAGTATTCTATACATGAGTTGACATTAGTGAGCAATTGGGAACCCTGGATTCATGGTCTGTTTGAAGAAAACATCAAACAGCACACAGCAGTATAAATCCACATCCACTCTGGCATTACTGTCCACTATTTACCTCATCAAGCTGCTGCTCGGTTTCCTCAAGGTTCTTTTGGTTGGAAAAAGATGGATTTTCAGAGTATGTTTTCATAAGTTTTTCAATTCCTGCGACACATTGTAAGAATTAGAATGACAGAAAAACAGCAAATGATTTTACTTCTTATTTTAAAAGTTGAGTAACACAGCTTGCCTTCACAGTCTTTCTTTGTTTTCGTAATATTCTCGTCGAGGCGCTGAAGTTTAAGCTTGATTGCCTCTCTTCTTCTGTCTTTGTCCATGAATGATTTGCTGTCTTCCTCCTGAGCATAGATACCTGGTCACTTATTAAATCAGAAACATTTTTTTAAATCTACCATCGATGGTTAAATCTACAGGGACTAAAAGTAGCATGTTAACTTTGAATTCGTCCCGAAAACTTTTCAGACATGCTGCATGTTGCACCCCAATCGTACATGTCCCTATACAGTAACTACATTTTATTAAATCAGAAAAATCTCATTGAGGTTACCATCATATTCCCATAGAAGCCACATCTTTAAAAAACGTATATGTTGTATATATGTATAGCTATATTTATGTAACAGTAAATATAGAGTAGATCACGGTACAGGATTTCTGTCAGGCCCTACCAGTAACTTTTTTATCTGCAGCACGCACACACTAACATAAAACGATGCCCCCTGCAGAGATGACCGCCTGCAGGAAAAAATACTTTGGTTTGAAATGCAACAGCAGATTCTCAGACACCAAAGACTTACGAAATAATCAGCCATCAAAAACTCGACTTTGTGATCTTCAGTGGTGTTTCTGTTCTCTTCCACCAGGGCTTGTATGTCTTTATCAGTGTCCACCCTTTGGACCGCCTGTTCTATCTGTGTTTGGCCCTAGAGGTAGCACAAGTATGCATAAGTGATATAATATCCTTAATGTACCAGTGATTCAACGTGTACTGGACGATGGTGGTCAGGATGTCTCACATGTTTGAGGGTCTGTCCAAAGCTGTACATTTGGAGGTTATATCTTTTTAGGATGTTGCCTAGAAGTTCAATCCGTTGCTTCTCCAGCTCCTGTATGATCTGAAAGAGCAGAAAGTGAGAAAGTCCTTGTTTAGATAATCTCCTGGCCATTTAAACCATGGAGCACATAACAGCAAATATATGCACTTGAGTTAGATGATTGCCATCTAACCCATAAATTCAATAAATGCACCAAGTGATTCAGGTCATAATGTGTGGAAAGACCATGTGCAGAGTAAAAGAAAGATCACAGGCTTAAGCCAGCAGCCTCAAGTTCTGGTACTGTGTCCTTATTAAACAACGTGTACACTAAATAAATGTGGGAATCTCTGAAAATACATTCAATGTCTACTGCTGCACAGAGTGGATTTTGATGAAAGAAATGTAAGCTAAAAATTTGCTACTGAAATGTATGTTGCATAATTCACTGAGAACAAAATGACATAACCACGGTTAGTAGAACTCATAATCATCAACCATCCTTGAAGATTACACCAACTGGCAAAGTTAAAACCTGATATTACAGGCTGATCCAACCGGAGTCACAATGTGGCTCAGTAATGCTTATGACCCCATTCTGATGAGACTGTGGATGGTGTCCTGGAAGATCCCCAGCATTTAGGCATCAATACATAATTTCCCAGAGGTTCTCAACTGGATTCACGTCTGGTTTTTGTGCTCAAAATACAGAACATACTGTCCTGGGAGATAAGCTGTGCTTTCAGAGTTTCCTGGAACCAATCAGAAGTGAAATCTTTCACACTAATGAAAAACTCTTGACTACGTCACTGAGCCCCGTTATCTCATAAAGAGCCACTCTTAATAAGAGGAACAGCTAAATGCCCACAAAATGACAAGTAGGAAACTATTTTCTCCACCTGGTAGCAGTTTTTCAATGTGTTTTCCCACTTGAGTCTCATCTGATGACCCTCCATGTTGATATTAAAGTACTCCTCATCCACCCGCGCCTGCATCTCTGCTGACTTAGTCAGCCTGTTAAGCATCTGGAGTCAAGAACAGAGAGAAAACTTTAGCAACCATGCTGACAGCTTTTTCCAGTAAGTATCCCCCCCGTGGTGAAAAAGACTGCAGTGATGAAAACAGTATGACACATTCTGTACCTTCTGTTTTTCTTTCTCAGTGGAGATGTGTTTGTTGTTTTCAACAAAGTTGAACAGATCCTCGTGTTCTCTTGTTAGTCCAATTAATTTCTTTTTGATCTAGTTTAGAAAGAAGAAATCAAATGAATATATTAGTATGAACTTTAAATAACATTACAACTACTTTGTGATGTTGTGTGTCAAAAGGGATAGACTGAATTTGAAAGATAAATCATTTATCTTGGCTTCTTGTGAGTTTATTTTTGTAGATATGAAATTTTACACTCATAGCTACAAAAACACTTTATTATTTTATTTTATTATTTTATTTTGTTATTTTTCAAAACATTTTCAACGAATGCGTCACGTGTTAAAAAAAAAAAGCTTTATATCAGATTTGCATTGCAGCCAAACAGTTCCTGGAAACGGTCACAACAGAGTCATTTTATGCATGATCATTATGGTTCATAAGGCCAAACATCACAGTGACTAATGATGAATCTACCCATTTTGAAAGGGAGGAATGGTTATGGTTGGTCACAATTCCAGACTTTATAATGTGCCATCAAACCAAATCGTAAAGTATCATAATTCCTCAGCATGACCCTCCTTTTAATGGCATGCAACTGTTCAAACACATATATTATTAAAGCTTATATCAGACCTGTGAGTTCTGCATACATTCTAATGCATTCTTGCAGGTATCCACATTATAGCAATTCTCTGACTGTACATGTCAACATATTTTTGCCGATACAGTCATTTTATGGATTTATGATTCAGCAGCTCCACCAAAGCCAATTTCTGTCCCTGTATATGTTTACAACACGCCCTTACCTTCAGTTGCTCACTCCAGTTAGCAGTAACAAGCTTTCCGGTTCTTTCAATGGCACTGTCAAGCTAGAAAAGAGTGGCATATTGTGCTATCACTGGAAACTGTAGCAGAGAGATTTTGATAAAAGGAAAGACTGAATTACATACAGGCCTCTTCCTCTTATTATGCTCGTCTAAGACTTGTCGTATTTCCAGAATTGCTTCCTGCTGAAATGCATTTCCTACTGATCTGAAATGAAGACATAAATCTGCATTTAAACTCCAGCTCAAGATAACATTTGTTTAATCATTTGACTGGCGCAGACTCGAGCTGAACTCAGGTTGAAAACTACCTGTGGGCGTCTGCTCTTGAGTACATCTCATCTGACACATGACACCAGGCACTGTGGGTGGAACTGAGTGGGGAGCCAGCATGAAAAGGTTAGAGCTGTGGGCTAATTAGCCTGACACCTGCCTGTGTTTTGATCACATCTAACTTGGTGGCTGCATGTTATTGCTCATCACACTATTATTCCTGTATGGCGCATGGCAATCAGTCCCAGGAAGAGGTCATGTTAAACACAAAACTGACAAAAGACAGTGTCACCCTTACTTGTTTGACATTCCTTTGGAGGCCCTGATGAGTTTGCCCGCGAGTTTTTGTAGGCCTTTGGAGTAAGTAAGCTCCAACTCTGCCCTGGAACAGGAAAAAGATTGCAGCAAGGAAGAAGAAGAAATAAAACTGGGTCAAACAGTAACTCCTAAAGCGACTCAGGTGTTTTCTAACCACAGTCAGCGTACCTTTGCTGGAAAACGGACATGAGCTCTTTGCAGAAGTATTCCCCATTTTTTGAATATTGTTTCGCATTTTGATAGAGCTGGTGATACTGAAAAGTGATAAATAATACACCGTGAGTACCTGACACATTTGATTTGAATGTGGAAGTTGTGCGATCAGTCAAAAATATATACTCACAGAGCAGGTGGTGGTAGGTTCCTTCATCTTAAGACTGTGGCTGTTTGTTGACTTTGTACCTGGAACTTTGACCACCCTCCTCCCAAAGTTACTCATGCGCAAACCACCTGAGCTTTATGCATTGCGCCAAAGGAAAATTCCAATGAGAGGGGTGAAAAAAAACCCCGGAAGAAGCTGCAAGCTTAAACTCAAGCTGGAAGGCAGCAGGTTTATGTGCAACCGATTCAGGACGGGGGAATATATAAACACCACAAAAAGGTCTGTCCACGCTTTTAGCAAACATAAATAAATAAAAGGATACGACCAAATATAACTACTTTATATAATGTTCAAGCTAATTAAACCAGCTGAGTTTCCTAATAACCCTTTAGAGAAAGTTAAAGAAAGTAAGTAAAGTTAATACTTTTAGGTTGTTAGGTTGTGATGTTTTGGTAATAATTATTCTATAAGGACTTGTGTGGTTTTATTTCATGTCTATTTGGTAATAACAGTTTAAAATGTTAGTAATTAGCAGTTTCTACTTTATTTGGCTACTTGGTATGAAACATACCTTCCTTTGAAGGTTGAACAGCAAATTAAATCTGGTAAGTTTGGCCTGCATAAGTGATCCAAACATAAAACCAGCTGGCATCCCACAAAACTGAACTGAGCCAAGTCAGACCCATCAGTTGTCTATCCTGCTCATGATTACAAGCTGCTACACTGGTCACTTAAAATCATTCAAATTGTAAATTGTTATTGATCCTATTGCCTTAGTCTTGAACTGTATATTTATTTCTCTTATTATATTTATTGTCTTTTGCATTGAATGGAACTGGAGCCTCGTCGTCTGGTCTCTCTATATACTGTACTGTATATGGCAGAGATGACAAAGTTTAATTTGACTTTGAAATTGCTAATGGAGTATTAGTTGTTTAATGTAAAACCTATTTAGACTGCATTATTTTTAATGATTAGGATTCTGGGGTATTAGATATTGTCCTGGATTTTTTCACTCTATATTTTGTGTTAAATGGGTTCGTTTGGCTGTGCTTCTCTTTTTATTCCTTTCTGGTTTCCTCCACCTCTGTCATCCTGCTTCTTGGTATTCTTCAAGGCCAGGTATTACTTATTTGTCTTTCAGTTACTATCTGCTTTACTATGAATGCTTCTCTTGTTTTCTTTTGGTTTTGCTTACTGCTTTTCTTTTCCCCATTTCCTAGTTTTTACTTTTTGTGTTGGAAACCACTTTGTGTCTGTGAAAAGCACTCTGTAAATAAACTTTACTTAAATACTTACCTATTTTGTGATTGTCTGCCCCATTTATTGGTGGGTCTGTATGTGTCCACAGAGGCTTTTCTTTACCTCGTAAGATAATATATTTGTGCTCCATATGTTTGTTTCTTGTGCTTCTGGTTTTTTTTTTACATTTCAATTTTTTTCTTACCTTTTGTATCAAATCTGCGCATCATTCAGCTCTAACTACTTAATAACTTATATCCTTAAAATATTTATTCAAAAGTAACATTTCAATGTGTATTATCTCCTTCTGAGAATCCCAATCAATATTTTTGTTGTTGTGTTGACCTTGTCAACCTCTGTGTCCAGCATTTGAGTTCCTAACCTCACCCTAACGCTCCAGCAGATCTACAGTAGTATAAATTTGAGGTATTAAGCAACCGCGCACAGAGAAGCAATGGGAGGAGGTTGAATGCTGTCTATGTGTTACTGAGGCTAATGTGTCTCACAGTAGCCTCTTTTCACAGCAGGCATTTTGAATTGTCACAGTCAAACTGTGTACACTGCAGTTATGAGCCATGCTACCTCCACGATTAAGCTTATTCAACACACTCGCACATATTTGCAATCTTCATGTTTTTTTGTTTTTTTTATTGAACTATTCAAACAATTCTTGTCTGCCTCAAAAGAGGACAAATGGCCTTTAATGTAACGCTTACCAGAAATGTACCAGAATAATTAACAAAATGCTTCAACAGGGAATACAGCATCTAGCCATGTCTGATGCACACACATAATACTGTTATTGACATCTCATATACAGTTTGAGTGGAGAATGAATTTTAAAGTGTAAGTGAATGTCACATAACTATCCATTTGTGAGTTGTGGCATATCTTTGGAGGTGTAGCATTAAAAGTAAACCCAGGTCTTTAGCATTTTGCTAATACTCGTTACTGTTACTCGTTCAGGAGTATGTCATCTTTAACACTGACATCAAAGAATGTCGTAGATGTAGAATAAATGTCCAAACTTATTTATAAAAAAAATTATAAATAAATAACATAGAATGACACAAACATAGGAGAAAACACACCCCCAGTATGCCAGACCACTGTATGTTAGAGTAGCATGCTTACACCATAGAGTGAAAGGCTTTCATTCACTGGTTAAACAGAGAGTGGGTTGTATCAATAGGAGTGCTTTGATATTTCACTGAGTGCAGTTTGATGTAAATATATAGATGAGGAGAGTAAACTGTCGAAGGAAATTAGTGAAGAATCAATAACAAAACTGCATTTAGCTAAATCTATCCAGAACTTCCAGACAGGCGATGTTGTTCATGTACCCACCACACACACTCTCTCTCACACCCTCTCGTACGCTCTCACACACAGAAGAATTGATGGTGTCTGTAGCGTGGCTCCACTCTTGTGATATCAGTGCTCGTCGGGAAACGGGGCTCCTATCAGGTAGCCGTTGGTGCCGTGATTTTTGTTTGTCCCATTGGTGGCGCTGGTGTGGTGCTTCTGATTTGGCGGTGGGCTGTCATCCTCATCGGAGCTGGACTCTATGTCGCTGCGGTCGTCTTTAGACACCTGCGGAAAAGAAAGGGGCGGCTGGAGATTACCTTTTTTTCCTCATTAAAATTCTTATCTGTTTCATTATCTGAGGCAGCCAAGCATAACGGTGTTATAAATGGCTTTTGCATGTGAAACGGGAGCTGCCAATCAATATCAGGCAAAAAATAGAAAAAGAAGAAGAAGCTATAACATCTATTCGCAAACATGAAATACGGAGACCTCTGGTTTGATTGCTTCTACCAGTCCAAAACACACATTTACCATGCTTATTACCGTATTAATATGATTATCATATCATTTCTGAGATAATCTGCCACACTGATTTAGAGAAAATACACGGACAATACTGATTTTTTGTTTTTTAAAACAACCTACTTTAATGTTTTGCAAGCTTTTATTCAAAATACACATTATTATTCATAGATTCAAATCAAGTCAAGTGCACTGTCATATGAGTTAAACCATTTTCTTTTCTGTTTTTTCCTTCGTAGCAACCCGGAATTTTAAATTCCTGCAGCGCACACCTGCATCACAAAATTTACAGGGATTAAAAAACTGATTCACAGCGTATTACAATTCATGATTACTGTTTATGAACCAACTGTGATGCTGTGTGTCAGGAAATCTTTTAGCCTCATCCTTTAGATAGTTACCTCAGTGCCTGAATATCAACTCTTTGCATGTGGTAGGAAAAGCTGCTGTGCTGGAGTTTAATGGCAGTATATACTTATTACAGTTCTTTTCCTCAAGAGTCAATAAAATAATTGTGCCTTTTTAAAATGTTTAGAGCGCTGTTTAATTTTCTCAGGATGTCAAAGGATGAAATAAGATGGTCTGCTGGCTGATCACATTTTTTTAAATAACAACATTTTTGATTTTCATTTTTAAAGATGAAACAGTCTATTAATTATCATGAGACATGGTTGTGGACATGAGGAGGATGAGAATACCAGCGAGGTTTACCTTGGTGCTCACACTGACAGTAAACTGGATTTTATTAAAAACACAGAAGCCCTCTACAAGAAAGGTCAAAACCATCTCCTTGAACATCTGCTAGATGGTGCTCAGGATGTTTTATAAGTCTGATAAGTCTGTAGTGGCTGG